GGAGGCGATACTCGTTCGACGCTTCGCTAACGTGTCGGGCAGGCTCTGTTTCGATACTTTCTGGGTGCTCTGTAGTAAGTTATTGGATGTGGTCCTTAAGTACGAAGGGAGCAAAATAACGGCAGGTTTGCGTCGTGCCGATCGACGGCGACCCCGCCGCCAGCGTTGGCGTTCAATGGTGAACGCCAGCGGCGACCCAGAATCGGTCGATGTTGAACGATGTGATGTTTCGGAAACGGCCGATCGTTCCAGGTTGAACGATCCCCGCGGTGTCAGAAACCAACGCCGAAGTCGGCACGACACGAAATTGCCGTATGAGGAGGGGGAGGGGGAGGATGATCTGAAGGAGGACGGGGAAGAGGTCTGGAGGGGAACGGTGAGGATGATCGGAGGAGAAGGAGGAGAACTGGAGTAGGGTGAGGAGCACGGGGGGGAGGATCTGAAGAAGGATGGGGAAGAGGTCTGGAGGGGAAGGGTGGGGATGATCGCAGGAGAAGGAGGATTGGAGGCATATTGGAGGGGGAAGGGAAGGAGGAGGACTGGAGGGAGAGCAATTGGAAGACTATCGGCGCACTCCCCTCCCCTCATCCCCTCTCCTTCTCGCTATCTCCCTCCCCTTCCACCCTTTTTCCTCCTCCTTCGACTCTCCCTCTTCATCCTTGCCTCGACCCCTCCTCATCGCTCAGTCATCCGTCCCGATCCTCCCTTCTCCCTTCTCCTCCTCACTTCTGCATCCTCCTCTCCCTCTTGCTCATCTTCCTCGCTGTTGCTGCTCCTCTTCCTCCTCCTCTTCCTCTTCCTCCTCCTCCTCCGCGACGGCGGCGGCGGCGGCGACTCCCTGCCGCCTTCCCCCCCTCGGCCTCGCTCCACCTTCGCCCCCCCCCGCTCGCCACTCCTTCTCCCCTCCTAGTTTTCTGCTCGCTTCCCCTCCTTATCCACCCCTTCTCCCACTCCCTCGTCGCAGCGACGAGCGTCTGAACTTTTGTACCCAGCTGATCTGCTTTTTTCCATCCTCCTCCTCCTCCTCCTCCTCCTCCTCCGCTTCCTCCCTCATTCTCCTCCTCCTCCTCCTCCTCCTCCTCCTCCTCCTCCTCCTCCTCCTCCTCCCTCATTCTCCTCCTCCCCACTGGAGGAGGCGCCGGTCGTGGAGCGCTCGAGGGCCGAGGAGGCCGCGGCCAAGTTCATAAACGATCACTCCAGGTTTGATCAGCTGGAGGAGCTTTCCTCCCCTCCTCCGCTTCCTCCCCAGCTTGGTTCTCCTCCTCTCCCCCCTGGGCTGTAGCTTTTGACTGGTTGGCCTTCTGGCAGTCCTCACCGAGGAGCTTCTGGGGGACCCGATCCGGCCCACCCTCAATCTGATCCTCGATCCGAAACTCGATCCTCGATCGAACCTCGATCCTCGCTCGCGATTGTCGATCCTCGATCTCGAACCTCGATCCTCGAGCCTCGATCATGTACCAGATCACTCAGAGCAGTCAGATCGTGGACTGGTCTGGCACGCCGCTGCAACATCCCCTCTGATGTAGGGCGACGAGATCTATACATGTCCACTGCTCCCTGGCCAGGCCCATCCCGAACCCAGCAGTTGTGTATGCGCCCTCATGGCCAAACCACGAGGGCGTGGCGTACACACCGCTGCCGGGTTCAGGATGGGCGTGACCAGGGAGCAGTGGATATGTATAGATCTCGTCGCCCTATGTTGTCTCCCCCCCATCCTCCTTCTGATGCTAGAGATGCGACGTCCTGATTTTTCCCAACCATCCAGTGGTGTTGGGTCTTCGTTTTGAAGAGACGGTCCCCGCGTTCCTCTCTCCAGCCTCCCTCCTCCCTCCCCATCCTCCCTCCTCCCCCTCCTCCCTGCGTTTCACCCACCCAGTACACCGTTTCGTGGCCCCATAGGGAGCTCCACCGAAGCCACCAGTGGGACCGTCCGCATGCGTCCCGAAAACCCAATTTGGCACACCCCTCACACGTGTCGTGGCCCCATAGGGAGCTCCACCGAAGGCCCCAGTGCCACCGTCCGCATGCGTCCCGAAAGTCCAATTTGGGAGGTTCTCGTTTGCTGTCGTCATCAAGGCTGTGTTGTGGAGTGTTCCCGGGTCGCCCGGCCAGTGCCGGGGGGCGTGGTTGTGGTAAGAATGAGTGCCGCCCGAGGGTACCGCGCGTCGAGACATTATCAGAATGCTGAGGTGGTCTGGCTCGTTTCGCTTGAGAGACCCTCGCAACTCTGGGCTCCCAGACGCCGCGCGAGAGGTGGTCCGGCCCATTTCGCCTGAAGCATCTTCGATGACGTGACTGGAGGGGGCCCCGCCTGTTTCGCGTGAGACATCCTCGTAGCTCTGCGCTTGGAGATTCCGCCTGCGAGCCGATCCGTTCAGTTTCGCTTATGACGTCCCGGCAACTCTGGGCACAGATGCCGCGCGCGAGGGGAGCAACCGCTGAGGAGGAGTGCGAAGAGAAGGAGGAGGAGGAGGAGGAGGAGGAGGAAGAGGAGGAGCAGGTGAAGGAGGAGGAGGAGGAAAATGAGGAGGAGGAAATATCATGCTCGTATTGCTGTCAGACAAGTACTTGTGTTTTCGATGCTCTCGGGACGCTCCTCGTCGCCAAAGCTGCACGCGGCTCGATCGTGCCTTGTGATGGTGGCCAGTGCTCTGCCGACCAAGGTGTTTCACTGGCCCGTTCGCACCCAGATGGCGGGGATGTTTCGAACGGACCGTTTGTTTTGGGAGGTGGACGGCCTCATGGGCCACAGAGGTTCTGGCCTGTTTCTCTTTTGATATCCTTGGAACCCACGGGGTCCGAGATGCCCTGACTTGAGGTGCTATGGCCCATTTCGCCTGAGACATCCTCACAACTCTGGATTTCAATATGCTGTTCGCGAGGTGCTCAGGCACGCTTCGCCTGAGACATCTTCGGAACCCCATGTTCTGAGATGCTTGAGGTGCCCTGACCCGTTTCGCCTCCTGAGACATCTTCACAGTTTTGGGTTCGAAGATGCGGTTCCCGAGGTGCTCAGGCCCGTTTCGCCTAAGACATCCTGGGAACCCTGATCTGCGAGATGCCCTTAAGGTGATCTGGCCCGTTTCGCCTGAGAGATCCTCACAACTCTGGGTTCAAAGATGCGGTTCGCGAGGTGCTCAGACCCGTTTCGGTCGAGACATCCTCGGACCCCCGGGCTGCGCGATGCCCTGGCGCTCTGGCCCGCTTCGTCAGCGGCACCCACGAATACTCGAAACTCTGGGCTCCGACTGCCAGGGCCGCGCGATTCGGCGGATGGCATCCCATCCTCGGGAAGGCTTTTGGCGTGGCCGTGGCCGATTCGAATCGTGTGCGAGCATGTGCAGATTGACCGAAGCCTCCATTATTACGGATTATCGGAGAGATGTTCGTGAGAGTATTTCGCCTTTACGTCAAGATGTTCACATGTAAATTGGAAATTCACACTCATGAAACATATCAGTACTAGCATGACCTGTGTGTATGTTCTTTACGCTGGAAGGTATCATTGAAGGAGGTTTTTGCAGGGGTTGCCCTGCCGGGGGAAGCCGAGGACCAAGAGGCCAGTAACAGAACAAGCTGGAACCCGCCATTTGGCATTTTCACCCATTGTACAGCGTTTCGTGGCCCCAAAGGGAGCTCCACCGAAGCCCCCAGTGGGACCGTCAACACGCATCCCGAAAACCCAATTTGGCATTTTCACCCGCCCAGTGCAGCTTTTCGTGGCCCCAAGGGAGCTCCACCGAAGGCCCCCAGTGCCACCGTCCGCATGCGTCCCGAAAATCCAATTTGGCATTTGCACCCCCCAGTACAGCTTTTCGTGGCCCCAAGGGAGCTCCACCGGAAGCCCCCAGTGGGACAGTCCGCATGCGTCCCGAAAACCCAACTTGTCATTTTCACCCACCCAGTACAGCGCTTCGTGGCCCCATAGGGAGCCCCACCGAAGCCCCCAAGTGGGACCGTCCGCATGCGTCCCGAGAAGCCAATGTGGCATTTTCACCCACCCAGTACAGCGCTTGTTGGCCCCATAGGGAGCTCCACCGAAGGCCCCAGTGCCACCGTCCGCATACGTCCCGAAAACCTAATTTGGCATGTCCACCTCCCCAATACAGCGCTTCGTGGCCCCATAGGGAGCTCCTCCGAAGGCCCCGGTGGGACCGTCCGCATGCGTCGCGAAAACCCAACTTGTCATTTTCACTCACCCAGTACAGCGCTTCGTGGCCCCATGGGGAGCTCCACCGAAGCCCCCAGTGCCACCGTCCGCATGCGTCCCGAAAATCCAATTTGGCATTTTCACCCACCCAGTACAGCTTTTCGTGGCCCCATAGGGAGCTCCACCGACGGCCCCAGTGCCACCGCCCGCATGCGCTCCCCCCCACCCAGTGCAGCGCTTCGTGGCCCCACAGGGAGCTTCACCGAAGAAGATATTCACAATTGCGGTACCCACAGCTGCATATGACTGGGTCCTTCGCACAGACATTTTCAAGACGGCGTCCCTGGAAGTCCCGACCCTTTCCCCGGGACCGGTTTTTCGTCCTGAGTCGTTTTTCGACGGCCCCGAGGCCCAGCGAGGACCCCCGGGCCGAAAATGGCCAGACACTTCCTGTCCCGATTTCTCTATGACGCGATCATGCCTGGGTTCTCCTCCCCCCGAGGTTTCTTCCAGGCCTCCTCCCAGGGCCCCCAGCGGCTTCGCGTGCCGTTTTTTGCGAGTGCGCGGTGGCCGGCGCAGGCCTGCCCGGGGAAGGCCTCCGTGGGCCTCGCGCGCCGGCGTGTGCGGGCCTCGCGCCCGGCAGAGCGACCCGCTCGTGGTCGGACGTCATGTGCGGTTGGCGTGAAGTCGGGCACGTGCCCGTCCAGGAGGAGTATTGAATAAGGAGGAGGAGGAGGAGGAGGAGGAGGAGGAGGAGGCGCAGGAGGAGGAGGAGGAGGAGGAGGAGGAGGAGGAGGAGGAGCAGGAGTTGCCACCTGAGTCGCATTTTCCTTTCCCTCCAGTCTGGGCCTCCAGCTCGTGGTCGCACGTCCCTCTACAGGAGGAATATTCAAACATTGGGGGAACGGAGAATGACATAAACATAATGATACCGCAGAAAAAAAAACAATCAGGGCTATAGGGCTAGGGGGCGTGAGGTCTCTAGGGCTATTGAGCTATAGGGCTATAGAGCTATAGGGCTATCGGGCTATTGGGCTATTGGGCTATAGGCTATAGGGCACCCCCGGGCACCCCCAGGCACCCCCGGGCACGCCCGGGCACCCGGGCACCCGGGCACCGAGGCACCAGGGCAGCCTGCAGGCACGCCCAGGCACCCGCGGGCACCCGGGCACCCGGGCACCCCCGCACCCCCGGGCACCCGGGCACCCGGGCGTGCCGCGAAAATCGGCGACAAACCTAACCTAACTTTATGAATATTGAGCTATAGGGCTATAGAGCTTTATAGGTCTATAGAGTTCTATAGGGCTGTAGGGCTATTGGGCTATAGGGCTATAGGGTACCCCCGGGCACCCCCAGGCACCCCCGGGCACGCCCGGGCACCCGGGCACCAGGGCACCCGAGCACCAGGGCACCCCCAGGCATGCCCGGGCACCCGCGGGCACCCGGGCACCTGGGCACCCCCGGGCACCCCCGGGCACCCGGGCACCCGGGCGTGCCGCGAAAATCGGCGGCGAGCCTAACCTAACCATATGAATCCGCGAGGACCCCTACAGAGGCAAGCTCTGATTGGGGAAAAACTCTGAGGTCCGCGCGGATTTCTCGGATCGGCGTTGGAGCTCCCTGGCGAGGCCTCTGAAGCCGCCACTCATGTTGATATCGTCTTCGGGCTCTCATGAAGCGCGCGAGGCTTCAGTATATACATTGACGAGAATTGGGGGTCGAGCGCCGATCCGAGAAATCCGCGCGGACCTTTAGATGTCTGTTTTATGTCATTGCTCGTTCCCCGACCCCTACAGGAGGAGTGTTCAAAAATAGTCAAAAAATCTGGGGACCATGTTTCTAATGTTTCTGTCTATGGTTGACTTGTTTTGCCAATTCACATTTTCTTCCGAGCTGCGCCTGCAGGAGGACATGCCCGGCCTAAGTCCAGCACCAGGCAGACGGATGCAAGTGACGGGCCGGCCTGGGCGAGAGCTGGAAGGCCACGCGTGCCTCTTCAACTTTGTTGCGTCGCAGCGCGGCGGGGGCAGTCCGCACGCGCGCTCCAGGTGGGCCGGGGCACGGAACACGAGCTGCGTGTCTCCAACACGCAGCTCCGGATGTGCTTCCGGCAGTTTGCCTCTGGATGTGTGTTCGGGCGACCGGCCTCCCGCACAGCAACAGGCGAGTTTCAGGAAGAGGCTCGGCCGTTGGCGAGCGACCCGAATGTGCGGACAAGTTGCAAGAGTCTTGTGGCCATGTTGTACTTGGCTCTCCTCAGGGTTCAGTGGGCTTGGCTCTCCCTTGATGCGATTCAGGGCGAGGCTCAGACCTGATATATAAAGCTCCACTCGGCGGGCCCAAGTTGTTGACTTCTCAGTTCGTCGTCGTATCGTCGGATAAATCGTCATACAGCTCCCTGTCGGCTCGGGTGTGGTGCCTCGGGCAGACCAACTGTCCTGGCCATCCATCAGCGAGGCCTTGCCTGGTCGGCACGTGAATCTGTCACTACAAGAGCGTCGAACGCTTCACGGTTTGTTCAGTGGTGCCGGTTCGATTAAGATACGCGGTGCTCATCTCAGGGCAGACCATGTGGTTCGTCTCCAAGACTACGACCCCTACCAGATAACCTCCCTTGTTCTGCAATGCAGTGGCTACAAGCGGATCCAGGACAGCGCTCCACAGCGAAGGCAACCAGGTGTGGTCGCAAGGTCCGTTTTTGGTCCGTGTTCTTGAGAACCACGCGGCAGTATTCTTTGAAATCCGCTCCACCCGAGATATGAAGCCAATGGAAGTCAGGCTCGATTGGCCGGAAGATTTGCTAGGCAGCCGCAGTTTTCGTCGTAGGTGCGAAGTGCCAATGGCACGATGCTTCACGTCCGCAACGCTTCGCGGCACTACGTCTGGACTTTCCAGGGGCGGGGTCATTATCGGGCATTGTTCCGAGAGTACGTTTTCTGCCAATCGCGACAAGTACTACATTCTATGTTTGCCGGCCCTTTCCGCGCTAGTTGGGCATCCACATGTTATTTATGGTCATTATCATATCGTTGCGTCAGTTGAATGGTTTGGGGGCGCTGCGCGCAAAGTGCGGTGCGGCGCACATGCGCGTGAGAGACGAACAAGGCAGAAGTTGACAAAAGGTGCCACGAGATGTCTGGCGCCCGAGGTGTGCTTCACGGCCTTAGTCAGCGAAAGCGGTGTCAGTAGCTGCCCAGCGGGCGACGTGGAAGAAGAGTGACTGACATGATGGAGATTGAAGTTGTACCCCCTGTGCACAGTGGAGTCCTCATCTTCCTGCCTCGCTCCTCTTTCTCCTTTGCCTCCTCTTCCTCTTCTCCCCCCGCCCTTTGGAAGGCGTGCTTGGGACTTCTTGGAGGCTGGTCTGGGTCTTCGTGAAGGCCTCTTAGGAGTCTCTTGAATTTGTTTCGGGGGCCTTCAGATGGGCTTCTTGATTTTGTTGTTTGCTGGCGTCCTGAAGGCCCCCAGGTGCATTTTGTGAGCATCCAGGGGGCATTGTGTGTGCCTGGGCGCCTTGGAGGCTATCCTGGAAGGATATTCTCCCAAGGCTAGTTCGCATTTCCCATTTTGGGCAGCTTTCGGGGTCATCTTGGGGGCCTCCTGGCCGTCTTGGAGGCCTCAAGGGCTTTTGGGGGGCCTCCTTTGGCCGTCTTGGGGTGGCAATGGAAGATTCTCGGTCGTCCTGAGCACAGCTGGAGTCAGATTGGGCCGTCTTGGACCCGCGGATGCTCGGAAAGGCGATTTTGCAAACATCACCGAAAACATTTGGGGATCACAATTTGTATGATTGGGGGCCTCGGTGGCCATCTTGAGGTTATCTTGGGCCGTTTGGGGGTGGTTGGCGACCATGCGGGTGGATTTGAAGGTCATCTCTTCGAGCCATCCGAAACCCCAGCGATCCTCCAGGAGGTTAAATCGAACGGGGGACGGGGGCGGGGGGGGGGGGAAGGGCGGCAACACAGGGCGAGGCTTGGGGGCGGGGGGCGAAGAGGAGATGCTTTACTGAAGATCGAAGAATAATGGGACCATGCAACAAAAGTTTTTGGACGCGTTTCGCAGTCCAGGCGTGCCGCTGACAAAAACATGTTTCGCCTTGTGGCGCCGCTCCGGGAGCGTGAACTCGTGGTAGGCTACAACGGTCCCTGGCTTCGTAATCGTGGACTTGTCATACGTAACGCACAAAGCACGACTGTAGCATCGGGGGAGATAGCGCGACGCAAATGGCAACTGTTTGTGTGGTTTCTGGAATGCGGCCGCGTCGTAAGTTATACGGAAAGGTTGTTTCGGGAACACGAGCGCGACGTAATTTACCCGAGGTTGTGGTTCATGGATTGCGAAGGCGATGTAATTTGAGATCTGTCGTGGTTTCGGAAGGGCGAGCGTTTGGGTAAGTTGTGCAGGAGTGTGGCCTCGGGAGTACGGAAGCGGAATCATATGTTTGTGGGTTTGGTTTGGGGACTGCGAGCGGTTCGTAATTTGCGAGGAGCGCGAGCGCGACGCAAATCATGAGGGGTCGCTGCACTGGCAGCGCGAGCTTGTTGCAATGCGATGTGGGCCGTAGTTTCAGGGGCGTGGGCGCGCATTCATATTCAACATATTGTGGCCTCGTGGGCGCGAGTTGTGTGTTTAATTTGTGATGGGTCGTAGCCACGGGGGCGCGATAGCAACATGTTCTACAATGTATGTGGCCTCGGGAACGCGCTTGCGTCGTAATTTGCAATAACACTGGCCTCTTGAGCGCGAGAGCGCGCCATGGTCTACAGGGGATATGTGGCCTCGGGAGCGCGAGCGCGACGTATTCTGCCATGGTGAAGGCCCCGTGCGCGAGCGCGTGGTCATTTACGAGGCCTCAAGAGCGCGCTGGTGCTATACTTCACTATGGGTTGTGACCTCGGGAGAGCGCATCCATTCTTACAGCGTGTCAGGCCACCCACAATTTTCGATCATGTGCTTCTGAGGTGGTAGCGGGGTGTTTTCTGGCGCGGGCAACAATGATCTATACCAGCTGGCACCGTGGAGCTGAGTAACTACGTTGTAATTTCACTGCGGCCAAGGGGCCGAACATTGCATCGCAAAGGGGGCAGTTTTTCGACGCTTATTCAGTCAAACATCAGGAGTTCACTCTTGAAGAACATCGTGGCTCAATGTGTCGGCTTCGGGACGCCCTGAGTACCTCCAGCTTAGATTTTCTAGAGGTGTCAGCTTCGCGATCCGTCCGAGAATTCGTCCGGGAATCCCTTGCGATATTTCGTGAGTATGTCCAGATAAGCACTCTGCACGTCGAAGCTGTATGTTTTGTATACAAAGGCGGGGGATCTGATGCTTTGAAGGGAATGTCTTATCTTCTTATTTCTTGATTCGGTGTATCAGATCCTGTTGCCTGCGGTTCACTCCGCCACCGTGCCAGCGCAGTAGCACGTCTGAGATGAGGACGAGTTGACAATTTGCATGAATTGAGGCAGGTCTTGATGGCCCCCTCTTTCGCACCATCGTTTTCCTCGTACGTCTGGATGCAACTCCTGGGAGATTATTTTCAGCAGGGGCGCTGGTTGATCCCCTTCGAAAACAGGCCCAATATGGTTCAACTCCGCATAGCTCTCGCTCGCTCTGGCTCAATCCAGCTTCATCGCAGGCCTACAACCGTTCTTACAAGGACTTCCCAGGAGTTGTTTCCTGATTTGTTCCTCTTCCCCTCCTCCTCCTCCTCCTCCTCCTGCCTCCTCCTCCTCCTCCTCCTCCTCCTCCACTTCCTGCCTCCTCCTCCTCCGTCTGCTCCTCCACCTCCTCCTGCTCCCCCCCCTCCTCCCCCCCCTCCTCCTCCTCCTCCTCCTGAACCTCCTCCTCCTCCTCCTCCTCCTCCTCCTCATTCTCCTCCTCATCCTCCTCCCTCTTCCTCCCCTCCTCCTCCTCGTCCAGCCAGACAGCCAGAGGAGCTCTCCGAGCGGATCGGCAAGAACTGCAGCTACCAGGACCGCTCCTGGCGGCCCTGCCGCCGCCGCTCTGGCTCCGTCCGGGGAGGAGGAGGAAGAGGAGGAGGAGGAGGAGGCGCAGGAGGAGGAGGAGGAGGACGAGGAGGAGGAGGAGGAGGAGGAGGAGGCAGCGTATGTGGCGGTGGTCCTCCGAGAGAGCTCCGTAGCGTTTCAGCTGCTGGGGATGCGTTCGATGAGGGTTACATCGTACTATGCTGAGGAAGCTTGGGGTATTCTTACATAGCTCATAGCCCCACTTCCAAGGGCATCGTGGCATTGGCGCTGCAGCGTCTGTCCAAGCCACTTTGAGCAGTGCAACGCTGCCATTCGACGGGGCATTTGACGAGATGTGGGGACGGTCTCGTTGGATTGGGATGGGTGCTTCTTGCTTCAGGCCTGCAACAGCATATCATGTTTGTTCTGCTGGATGTTTGCGACTCTTCGTTGCCATCTCGTTTTCCTCGTTGCTCAGCCGTTCTTGTCTGTCGCCTGTAGTTGTGCATTGTGCACACATTCGTGTGTACTTCCGTTCGGTGTGCGGGGAGATACGCTACAGCCTCGTGTGTTTCAGTCGGGATATTGTTTTACCCCCCGCGTGCCAGCACGAATTGTATTGCCTTCCTTGTCGGATGTCTGTGGCCATTTGGGTTCGGGCGCTCGGCCGTTTCAGAATAGCGGTTGGGCGTTGAAGCTGGCCCTTGGGCCCGCGCCCTCGAAACCGCGCCGCGGCGGACACGAAGAGCGTATCTTGCCACGCCAGCGCGAAGGAGGAATGCAGATGGGGCCGCACCGGAGGACCGCGGAGGCAGATGATCGTTTTCCTATTCATTGTATTGCCGATCGACGCGGGCCGTCGCGCCCCCCCCCTGCCCCCATGGAGGAGATCTTGGCTGTTTTCGGCCCCTGTTTCGAGCAGGTGGGGTCTTCCCAATAGGACTCGCTGCTGCAAACAGTCGCAAAAACCAGAGGTCCGGAGCCAGACCGCCCCTGGTCCCCCCCCCCTTCCTCCCAATGTCGAAGCGCTGACAATGGCGAGAACGAAGGGCACCGCTCCACACGATCTTCCGGGACAGGAGCCAAGCCTCCAGGCGAATAGGGTCTCCCTTTCGCCGAGCTTGCGAGAATTGCCGAAAGTCCGCGAGGGGCACGTAGCCGCAGAGATCACGTGCAGGGCGAAGTTGGCGCCTGTGGTCGGGTAGGCCGACTGGACGGCCAGGTTCACGGGCGGCCGCGCCTTCGCACACAACCCTGCCAAATGCCGTTAGTGGGAAGACGAGTGCGCCCTGATCTCATGTTGCGTCCAGATCTATGCAGGCGGTGAGACGCCATCCTTTTAAACAACCAGCCCGATGGTCGCACGCGAGCGCGTCGCCAATGCCAGCGGCGGCGAGTTCAAGCATACACTTCTTAGTTAGCATAATCCTGCACGCTTGTACAGAATCCTTGAGTCTTCTCGCCCGTGCCTTCACATGTGCTTCAGGCGCCACGGGAAAAAACAGCGCGACGACTCGGAGTCCCGGCTCCAGGCCGGGGACCTCTAGCCTGAAGTCCGGGTGGCCCAGCCGGAGGAGCAAGCATAATAACGAATCGCCGACGCAGCGGTCCAAGCCCATCGAGCTCGCTGCGGAAGCGGAGCCCGAAAAACACGAGGTTCGGCCCGTGGTCGCGCTCCATTGGGACACAGTCTTCAACCCTTCTTCGGTTTTCGATTTAATCCGCACCACTTTCGATGTTGATTCTGGGGGTGAGTTGCGTCCGGAAGCTTTGCTCTGCGTGGCCCTCGCGACCTTTGAGCCAAAACCGCCGCAAATGCTCCCATGAAAACAGCGTGCGTCTGTTTTTTTTCAGTTGCACCTTCAGACCAAGCGCTCGTTGTTAAAGTGCATGTTACTTTTCTTGTCAAGCGCAGCTCCACCCGCGGGGGTGGGGGCGCAAATGGGGGGGCGCGCGAGAATCTCAGTTGCGCGCGGGCGCAGTCTTACATAATGGAATCCCGACGTCCGAGTGGGTCCACGTTGCTTCCACTGGTGGACCACCAGTAGTTTTAGTTCTACAGTGGATCCATGAGCGGAAAGAGTAGGTCCAGTCGCGCTCGCGCTCCTGGCCCTCGCGCGCGTGTTGCGGACAGTTCCGATGATATTCTGCACTGCTCTCCAGCCGGCTCTGTCGCGGGGAATACCGGGGTCATCTCGCATGAATGTCCGGCGCAAGGGGCCCCCCCAAAGGGTGGTTCCATTCGCTTTCGAGGATTTGGGAGGATGGCTCACGCAGGAGTGGCGGGCGACAGTTCCACAAGGATGGCGACTGGAACGAGCGCCTCTGGCTGACGCTGCCGCCGCCCAGCTGGCTGTCGATACAGAGTGGGTCGGCCGCGCGTTCGAGCGCGCCCAGGTAAGGGGCGCTTCGCTCGCACCCTTGATCGGGCAGGATTTGATGTGTTCCATCAGAAATACGTTCGGAGCGTGGCAGCTCGGCGCCACGTCTAATCCGCCCGCCTCCGCGCGGGGCCTCCAGGTCGTTAGCCTTCACGCTGCGCTGGTTTTAACGCGGTCTTCTGCGTCGACGCGGCCGGCGGGCTGCAGGGGCCCCAATCGTCGGCAGGGGGCGCGCGCTGGGATTCGTTTCCAGGGGGTGCGCGCTGGGGCTCGTTTCAGGGGGGTGCACGCTGGGATCCGTTCCTGGCGGGCTGCGCTGGGCCGCCCCCGCTCGGGGCGCACGCTTGCGCCCGGGCAGTGAACTCCGACGTCGGACGTCGACTTCGCTGTCGGTTCGCCGCGCGACCCGGCGCGCGCTGGGGCGCGCGCTGGCACTTCGCCGGAGGTATCCGTCAATTCCGCCGCAGTGAGCACCCAGTCCGGCCGGCTTCGCTGCCCCAATGGCGCGCCCAATAGGGGATGGATGCAGGCCGCGTCTGCCAGGGCCCGCGCGCGCGCTGACGCGTGCGTTCCCTGGGCGTGCGCTGGCCCCCCGGTTCGCCAGGCGCACGCTGGCGCGCGCTTGGCGGGTGCATGCTGGCGCGTTTGCCCGGGCTCGCGCTGGCCACCCCCCCGTGTGCTCCGGGCCCTTCTATTCTCCAGCCCCCCCCCCCTGCCTCCCCCCTCCGGCCACCGCGCCGCGAGGGGATGGATGGCGGGGGCGAGGGGGGGGGGGGGATGAGCGGAGGGGGGCCTCTTGAGTTTTTACGCGTTACGCAGCGGCCGCGGGCTCGGGGGGCAGCGTGCAATGGGGGGGGAGTTTGCGGGGCAATATCTGTCACCGATCGTTCCTGTCCGCGCAGAAATTCCGGGGTGGCCCCCGGCGCAAGCCGTCGCGTCCATCGCTGCCCTCCTGCGACGTTCCTATCTTCGGCCGATGAGGAGGTTGAGGGTTCTGGCGGCTCTCGCGTCTTCCCAGGGCGCCGCGGTGGATGCAGTCCCATCGCGGCGGCGCCTCCCAGGCGGTGGCGCGAGTTCTTTTTCGGGCAGCGATTGCATTCGCAGAGAGCTCGCCCTGCGAGCGCGGCGGGAGCTCCGGGCGCCGCCGGGCTGCGATCGCCATCGGGGCGTGGCCTCGCTGGGGCCACTGGCGCATCAACTTATGCGTCGGGCGTTCCCGACGAGCTGCTAGCGCCAAATCGCCGACGGCCCCGTGCAAGCCATCTCGGGTTGAAGAGCATAACCGCTTCGACCTAGGTCTCGTTTGCGCGGTCGAGTGCATCTCGGCAGTTCCTGCCCCATCGTGGCAGACGGCCTCGTTTCCGCCCGTGCGCCGCGCGATTCCTTGCCTTTGCGCCCTGGCGCGGTATGGTCGGTCAGTTGCCGCGTTGTTTTCTGTTTGCGGGTCCCCGCAGCGCGTCGCTCAAGGGGCCCGCTTGGCTCCGCGGAGTGCGCCGCCCACTTCGGCGTCGGGCGCCTCCGGCATTGTCGCTGTCCGTGGCGTGTTTTTCGCGCGGGCCCGGGCGGCCCCAGCGTCCGCGTTGCGCCGTTGTTCCTCTCGACTCGCGCTCCTCATTGCGCCCGCTCGGCCTGGGTTTGGCCGACGCCTCGACTGGGCGCGCGCCTCGAGCGGCGATCGCGACGGCGCGCGGCGCCCGGGTTGGCCGCGGGGCGTGCTGCCCGCGAGCGCCCGCGAACGCTCGGCTTGTTCGAGCGGCGTTTTGGCTCGGGCGCGGCAGGCGTTGCGAATGCGTCGCTTCTTCGTCGCCCCGCCCGCGCGCCCGCTCAGGTCTTGGTTGAATGCTGCGAAGCGACCGCGAGTGCGGCGCCGGCGTTTCGGCCTCTTCTTTGCAGGATGAACTTGGTTGCCGAAGTCGAGAAAATGCGCCCGGCCATCGCGCAGGGCGCGCGCGCGGGGGCGGCGGCAGGGCTCGCGATTGCTTCCGCCAGGGGCAACTTCATATGAACGTGCGCTCGCGCTGCAGCACGGCCCCCCTCGAGCTGGAGGAGCGGGCGCGCTGTGTCGCGCCGGCGCGAGAGGGCGAGCCGGGGGGCGCCGCCGTCGGAGGCCGGTGGGCGCGCGCGCAAGAACTGCAGCCGCAGGTGGTCGAAGAAGGGCACCGACGCGAAGGGGCGCCGCGCAGCCATCTCCCCGTCGCGCCCCATCATTGGAAAGGGCGGTGCGGAGCTGGCCAGCGGCGGGGAGATTGAGCGCGTCGACGAGGCCCGGGAGCGCCGCCCGGATGACGGGGCGGAGACCGCCCACTTCGGCCGCGGCGGCCCCGAGCAGGAGGGCGCCCCGCCGGCGCCGGCAACGGCCGAGCAGGCGCCCGCCATCTCCAACGTGGAGGGGGGGGGAGATCCGCTCGGACTGGCCGTTGGAAGCGTTCGGCGCGGCCGTGGCCCCATCGGCTCCGGCTGCGGGGGGGCCCGCGCGAAGCGCGGCAGTTACGCGCCCATTTTCTCGAAGGAGAGGACCACTGCGGACGCGCCCGTGGGTCTACGGGCCCGCGCTGAGCGGGTTCACGGGCGACTGCCGCGCCCTCTGCCCGGCCTCGGATTCTCGTATTCGGGGCGCCGCAGAGCGCGACGAGGTGCTCGACTACCCGCCCCCGCCCCTCGGTTGCCCGGGCTCCGCGGGCAACCCGCGGACAGCCAGGGCGGGCGAGAACACGGGGAGCAGCTGGCATGGCCCATGGCCGCGGGGGCGCGCGCGAGCGAGCGCCAGCGGTTGGCCGCAGAGAACCCGATCGATTGCTTTGGCAAGCTGCGATCGAACAGGTCAGCGGGGCTCGACGAGGCACTCGGGCAACGGCAGCGGCGGCGCCCTGGGGCCGCGCGTCGGTCGGGGGCGCGGCCGTCGCGAAGATGACCGCCGCGCGGCCCGGGGCAGCGGGCCGCCGCGGGGCGACGGCGCGCCGCGGCCCCGCCCGGCCGCGAGGCGCGGGCGGCGCCGGACTGCGCGCTCGCATCGGCGACGCGCGGCCCCCGCGCGACCCTTCGGGCGAGGGCCTCGCTGGCGCGGGGGCGCGCGAGACGGCCGCCGCGAAGCCCCGAGCGCGTCGGAAGTTGCGATCGCCCGGTGCTTGGGCCACGGTTTTGCGGGGGCCCGTCGGGGGGCGCGCCTGCGGGGTGGCGCGAAGGCGCCCGCCCGTTCGCGCGCGCCGCCGCCACCGCCACCGCTGCCGCCGCCGCCGCCGCAGCCGCCGCAGCCGCCGCCGCTGCCGCAGCCGCCGCAGCCGCCGCCGCCGCCGCCAACTGTACCCTGTATTGTTTTTTGACAGGGATGGTGGGGGGGAGGCCGCATCAGGTTGGTTGCGCATGCTCCGAATTTGGAGGCAGAGTGTGTGTTTGTATGGTTTTTTACAAAGGATGGTGGGGGGGCCCTCATGGTTCCTGGTTGGCTACCAGTCGCCTGGGGGAGGGGGTGTCTTTTAATAGGGAACAGTGAAAAACTCAGAAGCCGGGCGACGGCTGGCAAATCCATGGCTGCTAAAACGGAGCTCCGGGAACTGTTTTTTTTTGTTCCGGGAAGCAACCCGTTTACCACTTAGTGCGCTGAGCTTGATTCTGGGATTTCTGCCTTCCAGGAAAACCGTTTTAGCAGCCACGGATTTGCCAGCCGTCGTCCACCTTCCCAAAAAACTCCCCGACGGGGAAGTAGGAGTGGTATCAGAGGAAACATTCTAGACCACCTACGCCCACATGGCTGGTGGGATTGTCCAGACGAGTGCTCGCGCCTCTAAAGCGAGAACCGCATTTTGAAAAAGGACTTGCCTTACATCCGTGAATATCCTACGCATTTCAAGCCAGGCGAAACACCCGACCCGCCCTACCGACACGCTTCGGGGTACGACACGTAGGACTTGTGTAGAACGAAGTGGGACGGAGGAGGAGGGGGAGGAGGAGGATGAGGAGGAGGAACAGGTACAGGAACAGGAACAGCAGAAGGCAGAAGAGAAGTCGGCGGAAGAGGAGGAGGAGGAAGAGGAGGAGGAAGAGGACGAGGAGGAGTGGCGAGAAGAGAAAAAGGGCGGGGCCGATTTGGGTTGGCCGAGTGGCCGGTGCCAACAGGACCTCCGCGAGGCCTTCCCGCAGCGCGTGCACCACCACCCCGCGCTGCTCGCCCTCACGGACTCCCTGCTGGCAGACCCAGCCAAGTTCAGCCAGTCCATCGCGCAGGTTCGGACGGCCACAAGCCCCGACCTGTCAGGGTCGCGGAAATGCAGGGGAGGGGAAAGCATCGATGCCGTTGGCAATGCGCAGTGTCCATTTGTGTTCGGGCCTCCTGGAAGGCCGTCGCCGCCACGGCTGGTTTCGCTGCAAAGTGTTGGTCAGAAGGCACCTTGGCACAGGTCTGGGGAGCAGCGACGTTGCTATATGTTTGCGTTCACCAGCAAACAGAGCACGTGAGTTTTTCCCAGCCATGTGTGCCTCTCGTTGCTTCGGTGCGCCCCGCCGTTTGCTCGAACGACGCCTGCTCGCCTGCGTCTGCGGACAGAACAGTTGTTTCCCCATCCACGTGTCCCTCCTTCCCTCCCTCCCGTTGCCCCTTCCGTCCTCCCATGCTTGCATCTGCCATCAGCACCAATCAGATGCTGGCACCTCTCACATTCTTCGTGGCCCCACTGAGCTCCACCGAGTGCTCCAGTGGCGGTGTTCGCATGCGTTTACCCCGCCGATTTCAGCACACTCCTTCACACGCTTCGTGGCCCCATAAGGAGGTTCACCGAATGCCCAAGTGTCGGTGTCCGCATGCGTCTTCTCCGTTTCGTGGCCCCCCAAAGGAGTTCCACCGAAGGCCTTTGTGGCGGTGTTCGCATGCGTGCCCCCCGCCCATTTCGGCACATCCATTCACGCGTTTTGTAATTCCATGGGCCGCCTCACCGAAAACCCCACTTGTGGCGTTCGCATGCGGTTCCCCCGACTATTTCGGCACACCTGGCACACGCTTCGTGGTCCCACACAGGGAGCTCCACCGAAGGCCCCAGTGGCGGTGTTCGCATGCGGTTCCCCCCATCGGGGCCATATCGGGAATTCCACCGAAGGCCGCAGTGTTTGTGTTCGCGCGCGTCTCCACCACCCATGTCGGCACATCCTTCACACGCTTCGTGACCCCATACGGAGAGCCACCGAAGGCTCCAATTGCGGTGCTCGCATGCGCTTCCCCTGCCCATTTCGATACCGTGGCCCCCAACGGGTTTCCACCGAAAGATTTTGTGACAGTGTTCGCATGCGTCTCCCTCTACCCATTTCGGCACATCCATTCACGCGTTTTGTGATTCCATGGGTCGCCCTCCCGAACGCCCCAGTGGCGGCGTTCGCATGCGTTTCCCCCCCCTCTTCGGCACACCATCACACGTTTCGTGGCCCCATGGGAAGCTCCACCGAAGGCCCCAGTGGCGGAGTACGCATGCGTCTTCCCGGCCCGTGTCGACACACCCCTCACACGCTTCGTGGCCCCATGGGGCGCTCCACCGAAGGTCCCAGCGTCGGTGTTCGCATGCGTCTCCCCCCACCCATGTCAGCACATCCCATCACACGCTTTGTGGTTCCATTGGCAACCCCACCGCCCTCGCACATTTTGGCTCACACGCTCCGTGGCCCCATATGAAACTCCACCGAAGCTCTTGATGTCGGTGTTTCGCGCGCGTGTCCTCCACTCGGCTCGGCACACCCCTCACACGTTTCGTGGCCCCGTAAGGTCCACCGAACGCTTCCGTGGCGGTGTTCGCATGCGTGTCCCCCGCCCAGTTCGGCATACACGCTTCGTGGCCCCATATGGAGTTCCACCGAAGGCTCCAGTGGCGGTGTTCGCATGCGGTTCCCCCGACCATTTCGACACACCCGTCACACGCTTCGCTTCGTGGCCTTATCGGGAATTCCACCGAAGGCCTCAATGGTTGTGTTCGCGCGCGTCTCCACCATCCATGTCGGCACATCCCTTCACACGCTTCGTGGCCCCATAAGGAGCGCCACCGAAAGCCCCAATGGCGGTGCTCGCATGCGTCTCCCCCACCCATTTCGGCACACCCCTTGACGCGTTTCGCGGCCCCATAGGTAGCTCCACCGAAAGCCCCCCGGGCGGTGTTCGCATGCGCCTCCCGCGCCCATGCCGGCACACCATCATACTTGGCGTCGTTTCCTAAGTAGGTCCACCGAAGGCCTCATTTGCGCATGTGTCTCTCCCGCCCATTTTGGTACACCCGTCACACGCTTCGTGGCCCCGTAGGGAGCTGCACCGAAGGCCCCGGTGGCGGTGTTTGTATGCGTGTCCCCCCGCCCATGGTGGTACGCCCCTCACACGTTCGTGGCCCCATACAAAATTTCGCGGAAGGCCCCAGTGGCGGCCCCCGCCCATGCAGGCACACCCTTGACGCGTTTCGAGGCGCCACACGGAGCTCCTCCGAAAGCCCCAGTGGCGGTGCTCGCATGCGTCCCCCCACCTACTTTGGCACACCCCCTTCACACGTTTTGTGGTTCCATGGGCAGCCCCACCGAAAGCCCCAGTGGTGATTTTCGCATGCGTATCCCTTGCCCATTTGGTCACACCCCTCACGTGTCGCGACCCCATAGGGAGCCCCACCGAAGGCCCCGTTGGTGGTGTTCGCATGCGTCTCCCGGCGGCCAACCCTAGTGACGCGCTTGCGAGGAGCAGTCGTGCCCTCGAGGCTGGCCCGGTGCTGTTGCCCCCTTCTCTATCGTGGAGCGTTGGAGTGGAGCGGTGGGGGCGGCTGAAACTGTTGTCAGGAGCCGGAATTGACCGCTCCGTCCCCCAGCGCCCCTCTTAAGAAGGGAGATGACCTATGAGGTTGTCGACGTGCGAAGGTCGACGACGACCGCTTCCTTTTTAGCTCAAGGCCAGAGGAGCTTGAGTGAAGACATTGAAACCGATGGACTGACGGCATTGTGCCCGACAGCCGGAAGGAAAACATCTTACTCTCATTGCCATTGATCTCTCTTGTTGGGTCTCGTTGACAGTTAGACCCAGGATGCTTCCCGTCACCTCGCAGAGCCGCCAGGCTTGCGCAGAAAGGAGGGTCTGAGACTCTTTGGGACGAGAAGCGCATCGCTCAGTCTGGTTCACAGACATCTCGAGCAGGCCCCGTGGGGAGGCCCCGAGAAGGCTCCCCAAAGGGTGCAAAGGGTGCCCCGAAGAGGCCCCCCTTTACGGATTGAGGGCCCCGAGAGGCCCCTAAGCGGGCCCCGATGGGGGCCCTCAGAGGTCTCGCCGGGCAGGCGGGAGGGGGGGGGCGGGGAAGGTTGCCGGCGCGGGTTCACGGCGAGGGGCGAACCCGACCTTGAAGGGAAATAGTGTGGTCGGCAGAAAAAGGGTTTTAAGCCGCCCAGGTCCAGGGGGCCGGTGGGATTTACCCGATCCTGTAGGATCGCTGGAACGATCTCCGTCAGAGTTGCGGTTCGTGCCAGTCGGGTCGATTCTGATATGATTCAGCAGTGTTTGTTCAGGCGAGCATTGCCGAGAGTTCAAAGTCAGATCGCCGAAAGCTTGCCACGGACGCTCCACGGGAGCTACCTGCCGGACGGGATGGGCGTCCGCACCAGCAATTCAGTCTCAGAAGGGCTGGAGGTGGCATCGGGGCCCGTCGTCTGGATTGAGGGGTCCTGTCGGCCCCCCTGGCCGCCGTGCGCACGGCGCCCAGGGCTCTACAATTAGCAGCGACCGAGTGCCCCGCCGCCCTGCTTCGTTCCGTTCTGTCCTGCTCCTGTCCGTCCTCTCGCCGCCGCTCCGCCGCATTGCGCTTGTTTCTCTTCGACTGTTTTGCGTAATCTCTGTCTCTCTCTCTCTCCATCTGTATACGTTACACATAGGTATGTATGTTTGCATGTATGTGTGTATGTATGTATGTTTGTTCGCATGTGTATGTAAGTTTGTTTATATGTATGCATGCGTTATGTCTGTGCGTACGTACGTATGTATGTGTGCATGCACGCACGCATTTACATATCACACACAAACATAATCCAAGGTGTGTACACACATCGCACATAGGTATATGCATATAGAACCAAGCACAGAATTACATACACACATGAAATTGATATGTGTATATGTACATACATGTATATATGAATATATATGCTCGCCCCCCCAGTATCATACCTTTTCGCTTTCGCTCCACACTCCAATCGTCAATCTCCTCCTCTTCATCCTCCTCCTTCTCCTCCTGGCCCGTCTGATGTGCTGGAGAGGGAACCTGAAAAGGCTCCCTCCCTGGCCAGTGGCGGGAGGGGAAACCAGCAAGAGGAGCAGGACGGCGGCGGAGGAGGAGGAGGAGAGACTTGAATCTGGCGTTGAACCCTTCGGGGCTCGTGCCACTGGCGCTGTCCCCCTCGTCGTGGTCAGAGGCTTATTTGATGTATGTGATGGCCTCTTGGGATGCCTCCCAGCAGTATTGAGCGATATATTGAGCCATCGACCGAACAGGGAAACTGAACAGTTTTCCTTTTCGGTCCTGGACATGGAAACTGACAAGTTTCTATGTTCGGTACGGGGGGGAGGGAAACTGAAACGTTTTCCTGCCCCGTCGGCAGAGGGAAGCTGAAAAGTTTCCCTCTGCCATTCCAGGCTCACTGGAGAAGGAAACTGAAAAGTTTCCTTGTTCAGTTGTGGGAGCGGGAAACTGAACAGTTTCTCGCTCCCGCTCTCGCTTGCAAATCGCTGAAGAAGGAAACTGAAAAGTGTTCTTGTTCGGCTATGGGAGCGGGGAACTGAACATTTTCCCTGTCCCGTCTCCAAATCACTGGAGAAGGAAACTGAGAAGTTTCCTTGTTCAGTTACGGGGGAGGGAAACTGAAAAGTGTCTTTGCCCCGTCTCCAAATCATTGGAGAAGGAACCTGAAAAGTTGCCTTGTTCATTCATGGGGGAGGGAAACTGGACAGTTTCTCTGCCCCATCTGAAACAAGACGGAGAGGGATTATTCAGTCAGCCCACTCACACAGAAAACCTCGTCATTGGCAATGAGGGGCCACTAACGCAAATTTTTTTGAGGCCGACTCCCGCGAAGACTCACAGGTTTCGTCTTGGAGGCCGACTCCCGCGAAGGCTCACAGGTATCGTCTTGGAACCCTTCGGGGCTCGTGCCGCGGGGCTTACTGATTTATGCATGTTTCGTATCATTGAAGCATGATGGCATCTAGGATCCCAGAGCATCGTTTTCCAGCTTTTCCAGCTTATCTCAGAGACTACCCATTGAACAACCATGTGGTTTCCAGCTGTTCCAGCTTTTCTAGTTTTTCCCAGAGACTACACCATTGAAACACCATGTGTCTTCTAGCTTTTCCAGCTTTTCCCAGAGATTACACCATGGAAAAGCCATGTATTTTCCAACTTTTCCAGCTTTGCCTAGAGACTACCTCATTGAACAACCATGTGGTTTCCAGCTGTTCCAGCTTTTCAAGCTTGTCCTAGAGACTACCTCATTGAAAAACAGTGTGTCTCCAACTTTTCCAGCTGTTCCAGCTTTTCACAGAAACTACCCCATTGAAAAACACCATGTGTTTTCCAGCTTTTCCAGCTTTTCCAACTTTTCCAAGAGACTACACCATTGGAAGCCTCGGGAAAAGCTGGAAAAAGCTGGAACACCTATGGTTTTTCAATGTGGTACTCTCTGTGGAAAATTGGAGAAGGTGGAAACACATGGTTTTTCCATGGGGCAGTTTCTGGGGAAAGCAGGACAAGCTGGAACAATTGGAGACACATGGTTTTTCAATGGGGTGGTCTCTGGGAAAAGCTGGAAAAGCAGGAGAACACAATGTTTTTCAATGAGGTAGTCTCTGGGAAAAGCTGGGAAAGCTGGAAAAGCTCGAAAACACATTGTTTTTCAATCATGCAGTCTCTGGGTAAAGCTGGAAAAGCCAGAAGAACTGCATACCACATGGTTTTTCAATGAGGTAGTCTCTGGAAGAGTTGGAAAAGCTGGAAAACACATGGTTTTAATTAATGGGGTAGTCTCTGGGGAAAGAGTTGACAAAGCTGGAAACGCTGGAACACACATGTTTGTTTCCAGTGTGTAGTCTCTGGGAAAAGCTGGAAAAGCTAGAACACACATGGTTTTTCAATGTGGTAGTCTCTGGGAAAAGCTGGAACAGCTGGCAAACACATGGTTTTTCAATGGTGTAGTTTCTGGGTCAAGCTGGAAAGCTGGGAAACTGGAAAACATGTGCGTTTGGAGAGAGAGAGAGAGATGAGAGAGAGAGAGAGAGAGAGACAGAGAGAGAGAGAGACAGAGAGAGAGAGAGACAGAGAGAGAAAGAGAGAGATAAAAATAATATGATACTGGGGGGGGCGTCCATATTTATATATATATATATATATATGTATATACGTTTGTGTGTCTAGTGCTGCCCCCTCCCTAACAATTTGGCGCGCGCCCCAGCCGCCCAGCTGCAAGGGCGTGCGGCGCGGGCCATGGAAACTTACGTGCGTGCATTTCACAACTGCAAGATTTGGACACCGTTCATTCCTCCTTCCATTGCTGCCCTCCCTCTTCGCCACTCATGCGCATTTGATGTCGCCGTCCTCGTCGCCGTCGTCCTGCTCCTCCTCATCGCCACCTTCCTGTACCCTTCCATCCCGCTTCCCCATCCCCTTCCCCCTCCCCCATCTTCCTCCTTGTTTTCCCTCTTCCTTTTCCTCCTGTTCATCCTCCTCCTCATTCTCCTTCCCCCCCCCACATCCTCTCCCTTGTCCTCCTGGTCGCGTTCGCGCCGCCGCGCCCCCCTCCCCCCGTCTTCTGGGCTGGTGTGCTCCGCCCACCGCGCTCTTCTCCACCCCGTCCCCCTCCCCATTGACCTTTTCTGGTCCCTCTGTCTGCATTGTTCTTCGCCAGTTCGTCCGCGTCCTGAACCTTCTTTGTCTTCCTCTTTATCTACATCCTTCTCCCTCACCCCACTCCCCGCCACCCAGCCCCTATTCGCAGATCTGCAGTCCTCGCCCTCGTATGCGTTGTTTTCCCGCTGCCGCTGCCGTTGCTCGTCCCCCTCCTGCTCCTCCTCCTCCTCCTGTTCCTCCTCCTCCTCCTCCTCCTCCTCCTTCCCCCTCGCCGCTCTTCCGCCCCCTCGTCGTCCTCCTCCTCCTCCTCCTCCTCCTCCTCCTGTTCCTCCTGCTCCTCCTCCTCCTGCTCCTCCTGCTCCTCCTCCTCCTCCTCCTCCTCCTCCTCCTCCTCCTCCTCCTCCTCCTCCTCCTCCTCCTCCTCCTCCTCCTCCCCCTCTTCCTCCTCCCCCTCCGCCCCCCGTCGCCCTCACTTGTCCTCGTCGTCCTCCTGGCCCACGAGGGTGGGTACCACCCGGGACTCTGCCTGGAGCGCGTTGGAGGCACCGTGTTAGACGAGCACCGCTCGCGGCCCCACGAGGCTTCGCTCCTCGCCTTGTCGGGGGGGGGGGGGGGCGCGCGGGGCTCGCCCGAAACCCCGCGGCAGGCGCGGCGCGGCGAGCCCCTCTTCGTCAAAGCCTCCGCGCCGTCCGTCGGCGCCAGGCCGGCGAGGCGCCATGGGGGCGAGGGGACGGCGAGAAGGGAGAAGGGAGAAGGGAGGAGGAGAAGGAGGAGGAGGAGCAGCAGCAGGAGGAGGCCTCTAATCAGGGGACGTTTTTCGCTATGTTTGGCTTCCGGGGACCCTCAACGGGCCTCGGGACGGTCAAAAAAGATTCAGGATGGAAAGCCGGTCCCGGGGAAGGGGTCCATGCCTGTTGGGGTCGACGTTGTAAGAAGTCAGGACGCCGGGGGCCTGGGGAGACACAAACAGGGGAATGTGGGATTTGATTGCGCCACGTAAAAAAGAGGGAGGGGAGGAGGGGAGGGAAGGGGGGATGAAAGAGGGAGGGGAACAGAGATGAATCTGATTGCCATGGTGGCGGTGATGTTGATGATGCTGATGATGCTGATGATGCTGATGATGGTGTTGGTGTTGGTGATGGTGATGGTGATGGTGATGGTGATGATGATGATGATGATGATGATGATGATGTTGTTGATGATGATGATGATGCTGATGCTGATGCTGATGCTGATGCTGATGCTGATGCTGATGCTGATGCTGATGCTGATGCTGATGCTGATGCTGATGCTGATGATGATGATGATGATGATGATGATGATGATGATGATGATGATGATGATGATGATGATGATGATGATGATGATGATGATGATGAATGTAATGATGAGGGGAGCAGGAGGAGGAGGTGGAGGAGGAGGAGGATAATGACCAGAGAAACCCCAGATGCAGCAGCGCTGCTGCAATCCACCCTCCCGTTACCAAGCCCCTGTTCGCTTTTCCTTATACGCCTCTTTTTCCAGGACCGCCGCTTTGAACAACGACCACACAGTGAGCCCGCCATTCGGGCTAGAGCTCCGGTCTGACAATCGATTCCGTTGCACCGATCTCGGGAATTTCAGGCAATGTGTAATGGTAGGGCCACCGAGGTCAACGAGGTCTTCGCCTCCCATCCGTGTAATATGTTGCATCAACGTCCGTGTCTTGGCAAGTCGAGGAAGCGAGAGCTCCATCTTGAAAAAGAACCACCCCCATCCGTGCAGCTTTTATTTTCAAGACGGTGGTCATAAGCGCGAGAAGCGCAAACCCCTTTCTGAAATGGCACCGCCCTGCATCCTTGAAGTTGTTGCGAGCGTTTAAGACGAACGGTTGCGGCGTTGAGGCGGCATTCCACTTTCGAGCACAGACCGCCCCCTATACGTTGAAGACGAACGTGATTGGCGTCATCTTTCAGCGGTTGGGAGCTTGTAAGAAGAGTGCGCCCAGCGCTGAGGCGAGTGACCCGTGTAGAGCTTGTACCAACCTCCCCATCCTTGGTGGTACTGTCAATTCAAGCTTCATGGTCAGAAGTGGTGAGGATGCCTCATGCGAAACGCCAGACCCGCCCTACTGACACACCTGGTTGTGCGACAGGGGTGAGTCAGTGAGTTACATTTATGGGTACAATGGTGGAGGGGGAAGAGACGAGAGGGGAAGGAGGAAGATGAGGAGGAGAGAGGGTAGGGATGAGTGTCGTGGAGGCGGAGGGGGGAGGAGGAGGAGGAGGAGGAGGAGGAGGAGGAGGAGGGGGAGGAGGAGGAGGAGGTGGATCATAGCGGCAGTCCGCTCTATGGTTTCGGTTTCTGGGGGCCCTCGCCGGGCCCCGAGACCGTCTGGATCGACTCAGGACGAGAAGCCGATCCTGGGGAGAGTATCGAGACCTCTAGAGGTTGACGTTGAGAGAAGCTCATGACTCGATGATTCTCAGGATGTGTGTAAGGCCCAAACGTGTGCTTGCCCAGTTCGTCTCCGCCGATGGCGAGCAGTCTGTGGCGGCCCTCGTTGGGCCGTTTGCGTCGTATTGACGGGCCTCAGTGGAGAAGCACACGTTGGTGCTAGCACGTTTTGAGGATCATCGAATGACGTCGGGGGTCCTGGGCCCCCGGGAGGCGAGGTAGGCCGGGGAGTTTCGAAGAGAACAAGATGTGTGTATAGATACAAACATATATACCGATGCCGCTACCCTTGCCTCGTCGCCACGGTCGGATTCGCTACGAAGTCCTGGTCAGAACGACCCCTCCTGAAAGGTCTTGGGAGCAGCGGCATCGGTACGTCTTGGTTCCCCGGGGAAATCCGGAGGATCGAGATGGGTACGGAAACCAGAGTGATGAAGACCGAGAGCAGTTCCTGTCCATTTTGAACAGTACTCGTTGTCGGTGTCGCCGTGGAATTGATTTGAGGCAGAAAGTTGTTTGCCCAACAGCGGCCGCTGTCGGTTGTAGACAACATTTGAGCGACGGCAAAACGGGGTCGACTGCGTTGACATTGGCGCGTAAGCTGCCCGCGTAAGGTTGCGCGTAAGCGCCCTCGCTTCCAACGTGGCGTGTTGCGCTGGCGGTCCGCGCAAGTCACCGCGTAAGGTCGCCATGCCATCTTGCATGAGGTCCATCGCTCCTCTGTTGTTGGGCATCGCACCCACTTGTTTCTCCGCCTTTCCGCCCAAGATCGGCCACGCGCAGAGGGGGCAGAGGAGGAGGGAAGGCTTCTTCAAGGCACCCTGCTTCTTAGCAAGCGCGGGCCTTGTCTGTAGATGTAAGGGCGGGTGCCTTCTAAGGAGCAGCCTCCTTCGAAGCAGCCTTCCCCACTCCCCCTACCCAGACCACCCGACGTCGTGATTTTTTCGCAGCGCCGACTCTCCGAGGTCTGGCCCCTTCCCTGGGACCCGTCTTCATCCCCAGTCGTCTTTTTCACGGGCCCGAGGCCCTGTGAGGGCACCCGGAGGCCGAAACAAGCGCACAAAAACCTCCCGTCCGATTTCTTCACCGCGCGAGGTGTCTTCTGGGGAGCCCCCCCTGGTGCGCGCCGCCCGCAAGAGGAAGGGTGCTGGGCGAGGCTCGAGGCCTCCCTGATGGGATCCGAGCAGCTGGGGTCGGAGGCTCGCGCCGCATCGCCGATACGTCGGCGATGCATCGGCGATGCATCGGTGATGCACCGGCGATGCACCGTCGACGTCGACGATGCACCGGCGACGTCGGCGTGAAGCAAATTCGGGGCGCAAGAGACGGAGGTCAACACAACCAGGGGTCAGTGAGAGCGCCGGACCTTGCGGGACCTTGCAGGGCCAGGGCTGCAGGGACCCGGGTTTTTGGGTGCAGGATCGTGCAGGATGTTGCAGGATCCTGCAATGCCTGACTGACCTGGATGGACCCGGGTCCGACGATCCCCAACAAGTCGGGCGCCACATCGAGCCGCATCGCCACTGCATCGGCCATGCGGCGCGGCCCTCCGACCGTATCTACTCCGACCCCATCTAGGATTAGGTCGGGCATGTCCTCCTACAGGCAGGCTCTGGGCGAAGATTTACAGCTAGCCAGGATTCTTCAAAAATAAGCAGAGCATTAAGCATCGAAAAATCGCCCCCAGACTGTTTCAAACACTTTTTTTGGACTGTTCCTCCTGCAGAGGCACATGCCCGACTTACATCCAGGAGGCCTCCAGCGAGGCTGCGCCAGCACGGCGGCGCCGAGCGCAGCCCCGCCCCGGCCGCCGCCGCCGGCACCCCCGCGGCCGCGGGCGGCTGCGGGCGCCCGCAGACGTCGGCCGCGGGGCCGAGGGCGTGGCCCGGGACCCGCCGCGCGCGCGTCGCCGGGGCGGACGAACGAACAGCACACACCCATATCCAGAGGAGGACTGGCTATGGGTATGGGTGCGGGTTGTCGGACCCTGGGGAACGCTCCCGTTCGAGCGGGGACCCCCATCCGACAACACGCACCCATAGCCCTCTCCGACCCCCCTAAGGGTATGGGTTTGTATTGTTGGTTCGTCAGGGGCAGCGTGGCGCGCGCCAGTCCTCAAAGAGTGGCGAGGCGTCCCGGCTTCTCGACTCAAGCTCGACCCCCAGACACGATCTTGTCGTAAAAAAAATCAGGGCGGGAGGTGTTTGGCCATTTTCGGCCCCGGGGGCCCTCGCCGGGCCTCGGGACCGTCAAAAAACAACTCGGGACGGAAAACCGGTTCTGGGGAAAAGGTCGGGACTTCCAGGGACGCCGTCCTGAAAAGATCAGGACGCCGCATGTCCGGGCTCAAGTTCGACTCAAGTTCGACTCAGGTTCGACTCAGGTTCGGCTCGGGTTCGACTCAAGGTCGGCTCGAGTCGACGAGCGTTCGACGCAGCTTCGGGTCAAGCAGTGGCGAAGCGTCCTGGCTCGCCCATAGGCCCACACAAGTGTTCTGAGGACCTTTTGTGGCTTACTCCGGCCTCCTGGATGGGGTCCGAGTAGATGGGGTCGGAAGATCGCGCCGCATCGCCGATGGATCGGCGATGCAGCTCGATGTGGAGCCCGAACTGCTTCACGCCGGCGTCGCCGGTGCATCGCCGACGTCGACGATGCATCGTCGGTGCATCACCGATGCATCGCCGACGCATCGCCGACGTATCGGCGATGCGGCGAGATCCTCCAACCCCATCTACTCGGATCCCATCAGGGAGGCCTCTAACCAAAGAGTGCTCTGTGAACCTTTTGTTTGTGGCTTATACGAAATCTTCTCATAACATTTTTGGTTGAGACCTTCTTGGTTTCAACACGTCGGGTGAAGGTTCTAAGGACCTTGTCTTTGTAATTGGAGCATGTTTGGGTTCTAACAACATGTCGTGGTAGGCCTATAGGAATACCGGGACAGTCGGTCCCTGCTCAATGTCTGTCTTCCGCGGCCTCTCTGCGCCCGCTGGACCCCTTGGGGTCATGAGACAGTCATGGCGGGACGTGTTCGCTACTCTTGGCTCTTCGGAGCCCTCACCAGCCCTCGGGGCCGGTCAGCAAAATCGGCTCGAGATGGAAAGCCGGTACCAGGGAAAGTGGTCGGGAGGTTGGAAAGAGCGTGATCCACCGCCGCTTTACTATGGAAAATTCCCCCCCTCCGTCTGCCGAACCGCCCCGCTCGCCCCCCCTCCCCCTCCCTCCCGGCAAACCCCCTCCCTCCCCCTACCCCCCCCTCATTCCAGAAAACTGGGGGGGTCACTACCGGTTCGAACCCCCCCCCGCTCTGGAAAACCGGGGGGAGTGTCACTGGGTCACTGCTGGTTCGACCCCCCCCCTCTCGAAAACCAGGGGGGGGTCACCACCAGTGGTTCGAACCCTCCCCCTCTCCCCCCCTTCCCTTCCCGAAAACCGCGGGGGGTCACTACCGGTTCGAACCCCCCCCCCTTCCCTTCCCGAAAACCGGGGGGGGGTCACTACAGGTTCGAACCCCTCCCCCCTTCGCTTCCTGAAAACCGGGGGGGGGGTCACTATACAGTTCGAACCCCCCTCCCCCCCCCCTCCCGAAAACCAGAGGGGGCCACTACCAGTTCGAACCCCTCCCCCCCCCAGAAAACCGGGGGGGTCACTACCGGTTCGAACCCCCCCCCCCCCTCACGCTCACCGCCAGCAAACGACTCCCGGGTCCCTACCACCGTCCGCACCACATCCCCCACTGCCGTCCCCAGCACCACTGTCCTCACCACCACTGTCCCCACTGTTCTCACCACCGTCCGCACTGTCCCCACTCTCCCCACCATTGTCCCACCACGGTCCCACTCTCCCCACTTTCACCACGGTCCCCACCACTGTCCCACTGTCCCCACTGTACCCACCACTGTCCCACTGTCCCCGCCGCTGTCCCACTGTGCTGTCCCACCGTCCCCACTGTCCCCATCACTGTCCCACTGTCCCCACTGTGCCCACCACTTTCCCCATTGTACTACTGTCCCACCACAGTCCTCACCACCGCCTTCACCACTGTCCCCGCCACTACCGTCCCCACCACTGTCCCACTGTCCCCACCACTGTCCCGCTGTGCCCTCACCACTGTCCCCACCACCACCGTCCCCACCACTGTCCGCACCACTGTCCCACTGTCCCCGCACCACTGTCCCCACCACCACCGTTCCCACCACTGTCCCAGCATCCCCACCATTGTCCAACTGTCCCGAGGAGCGGGGATCGTTTGCTGGCGGCGAGGGGGGGGGGGTTCGAACCGGTAGTGACCCCCCCCCCGGTTTTCGAGAGGAGGGGGTGTTCGAACCGGTATGATTTCCCCCCCCTTTTCATGATGGACTGGGGGAGGGGGGGGGAGGGGTTCGAACCGGCAGTGACCCCCCCCGGTTTTCGAGGGGGGGGGGGACGGGTTGGGAACCCCCCGTGACCCCCCCCCCGGTTTTCCGCCAGCAGCGGTAGAACACGCTCCTTCGGAGGTTGGGGTGGCTCGCGTCTCGCGGCCTCGCTGCGCCCCGGAGGTCGGAGTCCCGCGGTCTCGCTGCGCCCAGGGGTTCGGTAGCAAGTCAGGGGAGCCTCGTACAGTAGAGACCCATGCCAAGAAGCACCCTGCTTGCCTCCAGGGTGCCGTGGGTGTCTTGGGTTTCGATGGTTCTGCTATGGAAAGCGTGACGTTCCCACACCAAAAATCAGTGGACGTCCTGGGGTCTCAGGATTGGGTTTCTGGTGGAAGCTTTCTTGTGGACTGCCCTCCACTGTAGCGCCGATCTAGCGTCGATTAGCGTATCGTAGCGTCGATTAGCGTCGATGCTGCGTCCATTTGGCGTCGATTAGCGTCGAGTCGCAATGGCCAACAAGATGTGCAGTCAACCCGCACAGTAAGGATGCCTGACTTTCAAAGGCTACCCTTGCATCCTTCCCTTCGGCCCATCCTTGGCCGCTCGCGCTGGCCGCGCCCCGCTCGCAGAGTCGACATGGCCTGCCAAGGCCCTTGTATCCTTCTCGCGCATCCTTCCTATATGGGTTGGCTGTAACGCCGATCTAGCGTCGATTAGCGCCAGTTAGCGATGATGTTGCGTCCATTTGACGTCGATTTGCGTATTCGCAAGAGCCAACGCGATGGTGTGGGAGACCCCCATGAGTTGTCGCAGGAGTCTCTCGCTGCCTCGCTTAAGCGGCGAGCGAGGGGGGAAGTGAGAAGGAGAAGGCCTTCTCAGATGGCGGCGGGGCTTCTCAGGAGCCCCCTGGCCGTCTGAGACGTTTTCTGTGTCTGCGGTGCACGCTCAGAAAACTTCCCAGAAGGCTGGGGGATTTCCGAGTCTTTTGAGAAGGCCCGCCCCTTCTCTTCTTCCCCGGGGCTCGCCACCGAAACAAGCAAGGCGGCGGCGTGTCGTAGCTCCTGGCCCCCGGAAGGACCTCGCCGGGCTCCAGGGCCGTCAAGAAACGGCTCGGGAGGAAGCGGTGGTCTTGGTGAACGGGTCGGGATTTCTGTCCGGATCTCGACGATTGTCCCTGCGGGCTTGGGGCCTCGGTGTTTCGCTACGTCGTTGTTCCTCCGCCGTGGAGTCCTTCCTCTTCGGGCCTCCGTTCGGTCCTGTTGCTGCCTGGGAGTCGGCGCTTGACTCTAACCCACGTCCAGAACAACGATCTCGTGATGGCGGTAATATCCGGGCTTCCTCGGTGGCTGAGAGATTACCACCAACACCAACATCTAGGATCATCACCCCGCAGTGGACGCACCCCCGCTGTTTTGGTGTTGGTGCCCGTTTCCAAGCATCATCCAACCAGGTCTCCAGATCTAGGCCTCCCAGATTGGAGCACTCGGCAATCAAGGGCGCCCTCGAGGGCGCGAAGTTATTCGCGCTTCGCGGTTCGGCTCCGATTCCTCCTCATCCTCCTCTTCTCCCCTGGGAGGCGGCGCGAGAGCGCGAATAGCGGAGCGCGAGGTTGGGAGCCCTTGGCAATGCATCGGCGATGGGCTGCGATCCTCCGACCCCCATCTGCTCGGACCCCCTCTGGCCGACTCTCGTCGACGATCGTTCGAGGCCTGGACGGTCCTCCAGCTGCAGCGGGCGCAAGCAGGCACGGCAGGAGACCACACGCAGTGCCGAGTCTTCCCCTCCCCGCCGCTCCTCCCCACCCCAACATACCTATACTATATGTGCGTCGCCCCCCCGGGGGCGATGCGCGCACCGAGAAATCTTGTAGTATATGCGTCGTGGTGGGCGCTTTCTGGCCACACCGCTCGGGAAACGATCTACTATCTACTACACGATGGGTATACTAGATGTTTGGGTCGGACTCGCGTCTCCAAGGATAACATATTGCACTAGTATGTCTTTGTGCGTCCCATCACCCCCCCGTTCCCAGACCTCCGACGTCTTGATGGTTTCACGGCGTCGACCCCCAGAGGTCTTGGCCCCTTCCCCGGGACTGGCTTTTCGTGAGGCCCGGCAAGGGCCTCCGGAGGCCGAAGATAGCGGAAAACCTCCCGTGGTGCTTGTTCATAACGCACGGGGGTCCAAGTTCTTCATTCGCTCCCGAGGACAGGCCACGCGCCCCGGCCCGGCGACGTGCACCGCGCTGCCTCGGGCATCCCGGGGGCCCGGCGCCGCTTCCAGGGCCCGCACCTCACGTCCCAGGCGCTCTGGAGATGACTCCTCCTCCTCCTCCTCCTCCTCCTCCTCCTCCTCCTCCTCTTCGTCCTCCTCCTCCTCCTCCTCCTCCTCGTGCTCGTTCTCTTCCTCCTCCTCCTCCTCCTCCTCCTCCTCCTCGTCCTCCTCCTCCTCCTCCTCCTCCTCCTCCTCCTCCTCCTCCTCCTCCACCTCTCTCGGCGGCGAGCGAGGGGCGTAGCGAGAAGGAGAAGGCCTTCCCAGAAGGCGGCGGGGCTTCTCAGAAGCGCTCTGGCCTTCTGAGAAGGTTTCTTTGTCCTCGGGGAAGGCTCAGGAAACTTCTCAGAAGGCCGGGGGACTTCCGAGCCTTCCGAGGAGGCCCGCTCCTCTCACCTCCTCCCCCTCGTTCCCTCGCTCGCTGCCGAATGAGGAGGTGAGGAGGGGGAGGAGGGGGAGGTGAGGAGAGGTGAGGAAGGGGAGGCGGAGCGCACGTCAGGGGATTACGAGGTGAAGAGAGGGAGGAGGAAGAGGAGGAGGAGGAGGCGGAGGAGAAGGAGGAGGCGGAGGCGGAGGCGGAGGCGGAGGCGGAGGCGGAGGTGGAGGTGGAGGCGGAGGCGAAGGAGGAGGAGGAGGAGGAGGAGGAGGAGGACGAGGACGAAAACGAGGACGAGGAATAGGAGGAGAAGGAGGAGAATGAGGCTGGGCGGAAAGTCTCCGCCTGCCGCGCCGCACTATGGCCCTCTACGGCGCCGCCCTTCGACACCCTGTCGGCCACGTGCATCTCTCCGAAGACCCGAGTACTCACACTCGACGGCGTGGCCCAGCCCCAGCTCGCTTCACCTTCTTCTGGAGTTTCTCGTACTCCACCTTCGCCTTCCTGGCCTTGTCCTGCTGCCTGGCGATGTCGGTGCGCATGGCCTCCAGGGCGCTCATGGCCTCCGGGGAGGCACCGAAGCGCATCCACGCCTCCGCGAGCGCGGCCTCGTGCTCCTCCGAACCAGGCGCGAGGCCCTCGATGGCCCTCATGACGTGGTCGCAGACATCCTCCGCGTCAAGCTCCTCCTCGCCGACGGGGTCGAAGAGCTCCTTATCAACGATCCCGCTCACGTCCATGATGCCCTGCTCATCGTCCTCCTGCTTAGCACCCGAAGCCCCACTCGCAGCCGCCGACCCCGACGTCTCAGGCCCCGAAGACTTCCAGCAGCCCGAAGGAGTCGAGGGAGTTGCTGAACGGGTTCAAGTCCTGCCCTCTCCCTCTCCGTTGGCCTCGCCTCGCGCTGCCACCTCGCCCCAGGGCTGGGGAGGGAGACGAGGGTCAGCCGAGGGTGGGCCTTCGCAGGCTGAGCTCGCAGCGATGCACTGCGAGTTCCCTGAGGCATCTTCCTGGAGCTTGCCGTCGGCGCCGCCAATGTCGCCGACCTCGGTCTCCAGCTTGTAGACCAGCCCGCCCTCTGTGAAGCCCTTGCCGACGACCACGCCCGTGTCCGTCAGCTGCCCCCCCGAAGCTCGAGGCGAACTTGTCCAGCAGCCCGTCCTTCGTGGAACTCTTGCTGACGACTGCGGCCTCGTCCAGCAGCTGCTCCCCGAAGTTCGTGGACCCCTCGCTGTGGTCCTCGCCCTCAAGCATCGCCACCTCCAGCTTTGGGAAGGCGGGGATCGCGGCGAGCACGGCGCCGCACTTCTCGCTCTCCCAATCCTTCGGCACCTCGACATCATCCTCGGCGTGCTGCGCCACCTCGTCGTCCTGCTCGCCCACGTCCACCTCGAGGATGGCCTGCAGGTCCCCGATGAAGAACGAGCCCGAATGGCTGCCCTCCAGCTCGTGCTCGGCAACGGAACGCTGCTGAGCCTGCTCGGCGGTCCGACGAGCCTTGCTGTTGCCCCCGGCATCCGCCTCCCCAGCAAAGAAGCGAGCGACAAGCTCCTCCGTGATGAGGTAGGAGCGCACCTCGATCTCGACGTCGCCGCGGCGGGCGACGAGGAGCGGCTGCGCGTGCTCCAGTCCACCTCACCAGACCATGGCTGGCCGCCACTGGCCGCTCTGAAGAATGCGGCGGCAAGGCCCAGGCGCTCGGGGGCGCGGCCAAGGCCCAGAACGGCTAGGAGGAGGAGGAGGAGGAGGAGGAGGAGGAGGAGGAGGAGGTGGAGGAGGAGGAGGAGGAGGAGGAGGAGGGGGAGGGGGAGGGGGAGGGGGAGGGG